CCGCCGCATCCGCGGGGAGCGCGCATAAAGAGTCCCCTGCCGCAGCCCTTCCCGGCCAGGCACGGATCAAACGCACACGAACCCAAAGGCTCTTTTAAGAGCCACCACATACACAATTAAAAGAGCTGTGGCGCTGCTTTCAATGCCGTTTCTTGAAGCCTGGGGGATGAGGAAGAAGGTTTAAAGTTTACAGTGGGTTATTTCAAGCAGTTGTGTTCCAGTAATGTAAACTGGATTATCAGTTGGTAAAACTTCCTGTAAATAAGTCCTGGGTACAACACAACAGCAGTGAACCTCGGGAAGTTTTAGATCACAATCCTGGGACCTCAGACAACATTGTGTTTATTCGTATTGCCTTTATACTTGGCAACTCTGTCATCAGGCAATTTCAGAGATCTAATAATAGCCTAACGGTTTTTCCCCTATGATCTCTTACCTCCCCCTACTCCAGTACTGTTCCTAGAGCCCCAGTTAAAGGTGAGCCCAGAAATAAGGAAAACATAAAGGGACGTTGGAAAAGAAATTTTATAACCGTGTCTGAAGAGCTTTACAGCTCAATTCAGTGTTCATGTAATGGCTTTAACGAAGATGACAACACAATGCACGTTACATCCACAATCTCTCCTCCCCCATCCAAAACCATTCCCTTTCACGACAGTGCCACAGCTCTTTTTATTGTGCATGTAGTGGCTCTTAAAAGAGCCTTTGGGTTCGTGTGCGTTTGCCTCCGTGCCTGGCCGGGAAGGGCTGCGGCAGGGGACTCTTTATGCGCGCTCCCCGCGGATGCGGCGGGCCAGCTGGATGTCCTTGGGCATGATGGTGACGCGCTTGGCGTGGATGGCGCACAGGTTGGTGTCCTCGAAGAGCCCCACCAGGTAAGCCTCGCTGGCCTCCTGCAGCGCCATGACGGCCGAGCTCTGGAAGCGCAGGTCGGTCTTGAAGTCCTGCGCGATCTCGCGCACCAGGCGCTGGAAGGGCAGCTTGCGGATCAGCAGCTCCGTGGACTTCTGGTAGCGCCGGATCTCGCGCAGCGCCACCGTGCCGGGCCGGTAGCGGTGCGGCTTCTTGACGCCACCCGTGGCCGGCGCGCTCTTGCGGGCAGCCTTGGTAGCCAGCTGCTTGCGGGGCGCCTTCCCGCCCGTCGACTTACGCGCCGTCTGCTTCGTGCGCGCCATGGCCCAGCCCCAGCACAAAGCCGATCGCGCCCACCACAACTCACACTGCAGCAGCGGCCCCGCGCCCCCGGCATTTATAACCCGCCGCCCGCGCCCATT